CACCGATTCAGGTAACACACTAATACTGCTAGATCGTCCAAGGCCGCACACGACCTAAGTACGCAGCGGAGGAAGATCCTAACGGTGAGACGACCAATAGATCAACGAGGCCGATTGGACGCTCGTTCTTCATCCGATAAACCCACAAACACCTCCGGGCAAGACTCGTCTGGGAGACGCACAAAGGGGTTGTTATAGGATAGGCAAGGCCACCTAGAACACCAACGAATCTCATCGAGAGAGACGCTGGACATCAGGGGGTTGGAAGAGATAGGTTTTAGGAATAAAAAGTAAGGTAGATTGATTTTAATCGATGTTGTAGTGGATACCTTAATCGGTTATGATCCTCCAATATATATAATCAGTAAAAAGATTCTGCTTGCATAGTTTCCACAGCTTCCTCTGAAATTTAATCAGTAAAACATTAGGTTACAGATAGTGGAAGAGGACTTTAATTAAAAACCCAAGAGATTAATTCATAACAAGTAATGCATAAGTCTTCCTCAGCCTACTACTGATAGAGATTACATAAACTTCAGTAGATTTTAGTAGATTTTCATAACACTAGGCTCCTGCTACGTTTCCTTCTTTTATGACAATGGCTTCGGTAGATTTTAAGGAAATCAAAAGAAGGTACTTACACCTGCTGCTCTTGCAGCATCACTCAGACCCTTTTTACTACTGGTATGGATGTCCGTGAAAATTTCCACAGCATTAACATCTTCATCAGGTGAACCATATTATTCTTCAAGTCCTTATCATGTTATGCTGCCTTCCTCTTGTTCTCCTTCGTTTATATTGCACATGAGTTTCTATTTATATATATTTATATAAAGGCAAGAGTAACAATAAAACACAACCATCACTTACAAACTTTTGCAGCTAGATAACATAGGAGCGAGATCCTGTAGCCTGGTGGTACTTTACTTTTGCATAGTTTCGTTTGTTCTTCTCAGATGTTTCCTATAGCTTTATTTGTGTTAGACTGCAGCATAAATATACCATAGCAAGACTAGACAGGAAATCTATGGGTTCACACACACCTTGTTCTTAGCACTAGACCAAATCTCGACAAGTTCGCACCACTATGCATCGTTCATCGACAGGACAGGAGAGGTCATACGGATATGATCAGCGGAGACGCCATTGAAGTATTTTTTTCAACCTGTAGCGTGCCTGCCGTACCGCAAACTGCATTACATTTCAGCAAGCTTCTTTTGTTGGTGGGTGAGCCTTGTTAACGCGCAGCCTTGACTGCACACAGTAGCTCCCCCTCTTTGGCGCCCCAACTCTCTCTCGCGTGGGCGTTCTGTTAAGGGATTATTATATTATTTAGTTGCCAAAGGCTGAAGAAATGTGGCTCCTGAAACCACTGAATTATCAGCCGGTCGCCAGTCGCATGTATGGAGAGCAGTCGGCCGTCCCACTACTCTCCAGCTGGGTTGCATGTGACGATGTATTCTCAAACTATCACCCGTGACGTGCATAGTTCGTGCTTGATATTTTGCAGTTCTCTGTGTTTGCTAACGGACGAAGCAGATCGAGCTCGCAGCGAAGTACAATAATTCGGTGGTTAACACATATCACTGCCAGGCCAATCTAAAACCTGGTGAGAACACCTAGTTGATATGCACCCATATTGTGAGTGACGAGTGATTGTCAAGGAGATGATTGAGTTTTGGTTAAGTGTGTGTGTTGGACTAACCAAAGCGTGAGGGACGTATGTGCGACTTTTCTCTTGGCTTATGATGTGCAAGTGTTGAGCATGTCATGGCAATCGATGGTGATCGAGGAGTCCGTGTGGAGAATACCGAGAGCGGTGCCAGGAGTATGAGAAGGTTTAGACTGAGGGACTGAAGGCCTAGACTGAGGGACCGAACGCCAGAGGACGGACCATGGATGACAAACATGTGAGCACGGTGACAAGCACAAGTACATGTGAGGACATTGTTGACTGAACTCAACATGGCGATTGGACCAAGTCAAAGCGGGCGTGTGAGTACTTGGTGATCAGTCAGGTCGAGGACGAGCGGGACATGCATCAACATCGAGGAGGTTATGAAGAGGCTACATGACTCCAAAGGGTTCAACGGTTTCTGCCTCAAAACCATGGGTGACAAGTTTGCCGGTTTGGGCCTCAAAACCGAGAAGTGACATATCGGTAGACAAGAGGCATCATCACAAAGCTTGGGTCAAGGCAAAGCAAAATCATGAAGACATGGGGTCTGTTGGATGAGGGCGGAAAATTTTAGATAGCTTTGCTCATCGATGTGTGTATCTAGTTCTAGTACTAGGGCTAGTTTAGTAATCAGCCATGAGAGCATATGAATCGGGGAATACTTGATGTATTACAAGTCACGGACCTATATTGTAACACCACGCATACAAAACTGCTTATATGGCCCAGTTCCTCACGTGAAACAGGCCTGCATACGCGTAGCACCCCTCTTACACTTTCGTCCTCGTTTTGTGTAAAATGGTTAACCTATAGGATTATAAGTTGGCCTTCACCCTCCTAAACTTTCGAGGTGGTACTAAACCCACCAACCACAACCACACATGCTACTAAATGGGCTGGGGTGTTACATTCAGCCCCCTTAAGGGTTGACGCCCTCGGCAGCTCACCACATATATGTGGCAGATGTCTAGGACCACCCCTTGGCACACCCCTCCACGAGCACATGCAGCAAGGGTAGATGATCTAATACCATTTGTAATATCCCGCGTCCAAAACTGCTTATATAGCCCAACTCCGCACGTGGAACGGCCCTGCATACGCGTAGCACCCCTCTTACACTTTCGTCTAGCTTTGTGTAAAAGGGTTAATCCGGAGGTGCTACATTTGGAACAACAAGAATTATAAGCTGGCCCTCACCCTCCTAAACACTTTCAAAGTGGTACTAAACCCACCAACCACAACCACACATGAACCACTTGAGCCAAATGGGCCAACTTCACAACTACTACATGCTATTACATTTATATATTGGAGATGGCTGGTGTTAGCTTTTTAAACCCTAACATTATTTGCTCTAGGTTAGCCAAGTGCTGAGAGTGGCTAGAGTAGAGAGATTTTATCTCCTCATGCTCTATTTTTTTAATCAACTGGGAGGATGAGTGGAGGTGGATTGACCTAATTTGTACAGGTGAATTCATGGTTGGTTAATATAATAATTTATGAAATTCTCGAGTTCACCTTGTCCCTCCTTCGTTTTTCCTTTCTAAGTTTTTGGGCTTTTTCTTGGAAAATTGTTCCTCACTTTTGGTTCCATTTTTTGTGAAGATCATTGGGGAAAATCAGTGGTAGGACATGTAGGACGTAGCCCTATCACCAACTTGTTGGATTCCCTCACGAGCACCTCTAATCGATGGCTTTTACCAAATCTCCCCACTCCCTAGGGTTTCTTGGTCTTTCTGAAATTAGTTCTTGATTTTTTTATCTTTCTGAGGTTTTGCTATTGAGATGAGTTGCACATGTTGTGGCAAAGCTACTGCTAGAATCTCATCTCAATTGGACTTCATCTGGTCAAGGTTTGGACCAATTTTCCATTTTGCGCTCATTCTGAAATTTCCCTACTCGAGATCATTTTTGCAAACACCAGACACACCCTATTGTTCGGCATGCGGCCGGGCGTGTCTGTATGTGTTTCTGATAAGTGCGGACCATCTGGCGGAGATATGAATGAAGAAGATGGCAATGAAGAGGTACATCTAATAGATTTTAGGACCGGGTTATGGTGGACGGCAACGGATCCGGTGGCGGGGGAGCCAATTGGGACTGAGCGGAGAGGTGGAGGCGGTGGGGCAAGCGGTCGTTGGGGTCAGGTGCGGACGAAGGAAGAAAAAGAAGGGAAGAAAAATGACGTGAAGAGGAAGATTTGATCTAGACTCCCCATTTTATATCTAAGGGCAAAAAAAATCAATGATGATTGTCCTTAGATCACTTAGTTGTTGGCTAGACGGGCTAAAAAATGTGTATGTGCTTGGAGTTGAAACCACCGATATGTGATCCTACCTAGATGAATGTAGCCCTCAAGAACGTCACTCGGCTCTTTTAGGGCTTGTTTGTTTAGCCTTCAATCTAAGGGGATTGGGGATTAAGGAGGATTCAATCCCTAGCAGAAGTCAAAATCTTCCTCAATCCCTTCTAATCCTCTCGAAATGGAGGCTAACCGAACAAACCATTAGGCCTCTTTCGGATGCACTTGTACGTATCCAATCCGCCTCAATCAATGTGCGTTGGAGGAAAGTAAACTTCCACTCAAATCCACTTCAGTACACATGAATTGGATGAGTGGATACGAGTGCATCCAAACAACCCTTTAGAGGGAATGATTCACAAGGGACACGTGCCATTCATCAAGACAGAGTTACAATGGACAGTACTACATCTCGCAAGATGCACAGAGAGGGGTTTTTTCTTTCATATGCAGAAGTATTATTCATCACGTACTGTCTCACTGATTTCTAACATTATGATCTATAGGTTAATATTGTGGCTATGATTATTGATATCTCTCAAGAAAGGAGACGACGATATATATAAATGGGTACCGGGCCATTTATATATCGCTGTCTCACGTGTTACAACTTTTTGTAGGTTTCTTTCGTCAAAACTATGACCATTGCTCTTAGCGTTATTAGCAATAGTATATCAAACGAAATTGCATACTCAGTTTTATCAAAAAGAAACTACAGCTTCATGTATTGAACGAACCATACAAACAGATCATGACTCATGAGAACAAATCAAGAATACACTGTAACACCGATCAGTAATTAACTGATCACCCCAGGCCAGACATATACATGCACGTGTGGTAGCCGCTGCATGCCTGGGCTATGTAGAAGTGTAACCACACCACTCATATATATGCATAAAGAGACAAATCAAAATAAATAGGCTGGAACTGACAGGAAGATCAATGAACAATTAAGCAATGAGCTGACAGGAAGATCGATGAACCGCGGCCGGCTATGGACGACGTTCAATTGATCATCTATGCGCAGTGGAAATCGTTGGGGCAGTTCTTGCCACAGTTGTTGAGGATGAGGCTGAGGTCGATGGGGAGGTTAAGGTTGATGCCGAGGATGTTGGCCTTGATGGCGGTGCAGAGGCAGACGGCGGCCTCCAGGTCGACGAGCCCGTCCAGCAGCGAGCAGCACGGCTGGTACGGCGGCGAGCCGATCTTGGCCTTCACCAGGCCCAGCACGTTGGCGCACACTCCCAGCTTCAGCGCGTCCCTGGGGCACGACCCGTGGTCGCCGCTGGGCGGCGGCGTCGGCGGCTTGGGGGCTGGCGGCGGCGTCGGTGGCTTGGGGGCTGGCGGCGGCGGGCAGTAGGTCGCGCTCGCCACGGCAGCGAGGACTAGGCTGACAGCCAGGAGGAGCGCCGCTCTCGCAGCCATGTGGCGATCGATCGAGCTGCTTGCACACGTATAGTAGCTAAGCTAGCTCGAGCTGCTGCTGCTGCTAGTGCTGGAGTACTGCTGTGTGGGAGTGCGTGTGTGCATGGCCAGTGGTATTTATAGCGGTGATGGCGGATGCGAGATGGAGCCACGCCATGTGGTGCTCGAGCTGGCGCGTCTGGATCATTCCGCTTAGCGCTTATAAAATGTCGTTGGATTTTGGACGTGAGCATGCCCGTGAACCCAGTGATTGATTCGTTGAACTGTGTAGGGTTCGTACGACTCTAATACTACTGTATTGTTCTTTTGCATGTTCTGGCCAGATCACATATATTCCTTCGTGTTTGGTTGCTGGATTTAGCATGTGAGTGAGACCTGGAATTGTTACTAGTGGCACCGTTCACGGGTTCAGGTCGTAAATTTTCAGATCCAGCCGTAGAAGTAGGAAAGGAGGTTGGAGATAAGTTTCCTCTAGCGAAAATTCAATTGCATGCTTCACCTCTCAATCAGTCCCGATGTCACGTGGCCTGCTAAGGGCTCGTTCGGTTGTATAGGAATCATTCTCTGGAACGAATCCCAGCTGGAATGATCGACTAATTTGTATAACAATTGATTGGCTGGAATGGTTCCTAGTCCCATTCCAAAACAACCGAACGACCCCTAAGGCAGCTCATGAGGAGACCCGGTGGGTGTGTAAGTGTGTTTGGGTCAGGGAGCCCGATTCCTGCTGCCGCTCGCCATTTCGCATCATGAGCCAAGCACCGATCCCTCGCCGGCATGAATCGGCCTGAGCAGAGGTCAAAGACTCACACGAATCGACTGGAGTGGACCTTGAAGATGCAGATCCGCCTACGACTGCTGCCCTACGCTGGTGGCGGCCAATGACTCTTGCAGCCCTGACCCGCCACCCCACGCCCAAGCTCTGCTCCAGTCAGATCCGATGACAGGGAGGGGGCACTAGATACTAGCAGAAGGGGCGCTAGATACCAGCAATCCAACCATGGAAGCTCCATGCCAACAAATTCGGCCAAGGGAGAACAGTAGATCGAAGTGTGAGAGCCGGGAGAGAAACAGGTGGGGTGGCCTCGGAAAAGATAAATGAGAGAGGCAATGCGTCACGCGGGAGAAACATAGAGACGCCAAGATGACCACGGGAAAAATGGGAGAGGCGACGCATCGCACGAGCGAAAATGAGAGGGACGCCATGTCCATAGAAGGGAGGTGAGTAAATGGGAGAGACGCCACGTACAAAGAACAGAAGGTGTCACGCGAGAGAAACAAAAGAAGGGAACACTACTACATATTGACTTATCTCTATCGCCATTTTCACTGCCGTAGCGATAGAAGCGTCTGTGTTTTACTTCCACCGCCGGTTGGACCGACAGCGAGGCCTCCTGCTGAAGGAAACCGGTAGTTGAGACTTCTAACACCGACGGGTTAACAGTAGATATGGCAGTGGTATTTTCTCCGTCGCATGAAAAGCCGAGCCGACTGGATAGGCGTTCTGGCCGCCGGCCCTACACGACCGTTTGGTCTACCGGCGGTAGTAAATTCAGCGTGAGTTATTTTCCCATTTCCCAACTACCCACAACACAGTTGCATCACCATTCCACTTCTCCATCTTCAAGGTTGGCGCATTGTTCCTCTCTCCATTGCATGCCTCGCGCCGCGCCGCCGCCACCTCCCGCACGGCCGGCGTATTGTTCCTCTCGCAATTTGTGTGAACCATTGCACGCCTCGCGCCGCGCTACCGCCAGATCCAAAGGCAAGGGTAATGCTTTCGCACTGCACTGATAGATCTTTGTCGGATTATTTTCCTCTTTAGTGATCTCATTACTAAGGAAGCTCTCATCCTACTACACAATGACGATCGCAGGCTCTTCAAAATGGAGGCGGCCCCCAACAACAGGAACGCACTGGCCAGCCTCATAGAAGATGTTGTTCTGGAGATCCTCCGCTGCCTCCTCGCCCGCTGCTTGTTGTGCTATAAACGTGTATGTCGCTCCTAGAACCACCTCATCTCCAACAACCGTAAGGTGCTGCCCTAGACTATGGCCGGCTTCTTCTACGACAGCGAGAAAGGCGAGCGAAAGTTCACCAGCATCACCGGTGAATGCCCCGACTTGTCCTTCTTGCCCTTCCCCATTGACAAAGTAGCTGTCTTAGATTGCTACAATGGCCTCATCCTATGCTTGTGCGTTGAGGCTATTGGATCCTGCTATGTTGTCTATAATCCGGCAACCAAGAATTTGCAGAGTACTAAGATATATATATAAGTATTGATCAATGATCCTGCTATGTTGCCCCGACTATGTTGTCTATAAGTATTGATCAATGATAATGATAAATCACTCAGAGTACTCATTTCTATGGCATTAGCATGGTCAGGTAGAATATTAGAGGAATGATTCCTAAGTCATTCTTAATTACAAGTCAAAGCATACATTGATTAGTGTAATTACACCTAGTAATCATGGCTAAGATTATCTTCATATCTACATATAAGGGATATTACTAGGGAAGAGTAAGAACAGAGCTTATCTTCCTTCGTAATCAGATCCTACGTGCTACCTACATCGGGGAGTGGACTACAAAGGACTCAACGGAAGTGTCACGTCCGCGATCTACCACATGACCCAGAATATAGGGTCTATTCGCAGATAAACAATGTATAAGCACCATGCTTACACAATGTCGACCACCCACCAATGGTACCTTAGAGTGAGCGCTATACGAACTTATGCATGAACATAATGATAATACAACTATACTAAGCATATAATCAAAGTAGAGGATGAACATTATAACAAAGAACATGAATAAGATAAATACTAATATTATCATAAAAATTGTAGCAAGCATATAAAAATAATGAAGATACAAAAGAGAGAGGGGTTACAAAGATTATACTAAACCATGCTCTTGACACGATAGGGAATCCAAGCGAAGCCTGCTTGCCTCCTTCTAGACCTAGCCTAACTAGCTATGCCCTAGAACTTGATGCCTTCAGGGGGGCAGGGGGCTGATATATATAGGCCGGAGCGTCTAACATGAGCCCTTGGATCAAACCGACTTACGGAACTGCATAGATGCAACCTAGGAGGTGGTGGAGAACCAACATTGCAACACGTAGGCTGACAGGTGACCCAAGGCCCGGCGGCTCGCAGGTGGGGCCGACCGACCCCACCTAGCAGCCTCTGCCTCTCTTCCTCGGCATGGAGTCCTCTCGAGTCTTCTAGAGTCTTTTGGTGTCAGTTTCGCTATGGATAAGCGCAATTAAATCTGATGTGTGGGTCCACCTTGACGATTTTCTGGATAAACTGTGCAGAAATAACATATTCACCAAAACTCATGGAATTTATTAGTTTAAACCCCTAAATCTTTGTTGGTGATCTCAATTGTGCCCTTATACATGTTTTATTGACGGTTTATAATGGTTGTTAACTACCATCAACAACCTTCGCATGATGTCTATGTACTTCACTGTCCGAACACATGAAACCAGGTGCTCCTCTTCTAAGCTGTCCACTTCAATGAGCCAAGCTTGGTCGGAGTTCTCCTCGTTGCAGTTCTCCACCCTAGGTGCTCGGAAGGCGATGTCGGCAGGTAAAATGGCCTCGGAGCCGAAAACCATGAAGTACGGAGAGACACCGGTGTTGCGACTAGGCTGGGTCCTTAGTCCCTAGACCACAGCTGGTAGTTCCTTGAGCCATTTCCTAGGGTGCTTCTGCTCGTTCTTGTAGAGCCTCTTTTTTAACGTGTCTAGGATCATACCATTGGCGCGCTCGACCTGGTCGTTAGCCCTAGGGTGTGCCACCGAGACGTACTTGACTGAGCTGCATCTTTCATCGCAGAAATCCTAGAAGTCGCTGCCGGTGAACGTGGAACTTAGGTTGGTGATGATGCTATTCGGAAGGCCGAACCGATGAATGATGTCGTCGAGCAGCTCGGCCGCCTTCTTCGCTGTATCTTAGACCAGGGGTTTGTACTCGATCCACTTAGAAAATTTGTCGATGCAGACGTAGACCCAACGGAATCCTCCTAGGGCGAGCTTGAAGGGCCCAATCATATCCAGTCCCTAGCATGCGAAGGGACAAGATGCAGGAATCATTTATAAGGCCTGGGCGAAGACATGGATTTGCTTAGCAAAAAACTGACAGTTCTCACACCGTCTAACGAGTGCCTCAGCGTCAGCAACAGCTGAAGACAATAGAAACCAGCTCGGAAGGCTTTGCCGACTAGTGTTCTAGAGGCTCTGTGATTGCCACAAGTGCCAGCATGGATCTCCTAGAGTGTCTTCCCACCCTCTTCCACAGAGACACACTTCTGGAGTAGCTCCCCCTTGGCATTCTTGCGATATAACTTTCCTTCAACTAGGACGTAATGCTTGCTACGGTGGGTGAGGCATTCTCTCTCTGTGTTGTCAGCCGAGATGTCTACAGTGGTGAGGTATTTGATGAATGATTCCCTCCAATCACTGCTCGGTCTAGAGACCGCTGCGACTAACTACTCGGTAGGTGGCTTTTCTTCAATGCCTTCTTGCCCCAGCTTGATAGATGGCGTCACCAGGTCCTGGACTAACACTTCGGCTAGAACTTTGGCCTGGGTCGACCCTAACTTTGATAGCTCATCAGCTGCTTGGTTGTTAGCCAGATCATGTGGTGGTACTCGATGTCGTATAACTTGTCTTCTAACTTTCTTATCGTGGCGCAGTAAGCATCCATCTTCTCATTGGCGCAATTCCAATCCTTGTTGAGTTGATTGATCACGAGTGCAGAGTCACCATACACCTGGAGGCATTTAACACTGATCTCAATAGCTATACGAAGACCATGAAGTGCCGCCACGTATTCAGCGGTATTATTGGATGTTCGGAAGTGTTGGCGGAGGACATAGCGAAGCTTATCCCCTGATCACGAGATGAAATATACGCCTGCCCTAGTATTGTCGAGGTTGAGAGACCCATCAAAGTACATGGTCTAGTGCTCAGGGTGGTCAAC